CAGTCACAAGAACGTCAAATCTGAATCACTTGAAAAAAACACGGGGGTGCTTAACTTTTTCCAGGTGTATATTATCTCTTCTTCTTATAACATTTCATTCAATTTACTTTGCTCAGGAAAAGGTTTTTTTACTTCAACGAAACTTCCTACAATGTTGAAATATGCCTCAAGGAACATTCATAGACATATATCATAAATGAAATAAAAACTTGGTATGAAAAAGTTTGATTTACTCTTTTCAATCTAATAATCCTCATGCACTTAACCACAACTTTATCTACTTCTTTTCCCCATTACAACATTTCTAATATTTTATTTTCCTTGCTGCTATTTCTTCAGTTTCCAGATGAAGGAACACCAAGACCCTGAATACTAGGAGTTTTTTATCTTTCATATTTTTATTCTCACTTTTATAATGTTTGTTTCACTGATTATTAATGACAAATTACTTTTTTCTTGTCAGCTCATATTTTTCATTTTGATATTCCTCCTGGAAAACCCAATATCCTGGCTTTTAATTGTAAATTGTACCAAAACAGCAGTAAGTTTCTTTAAGCTTAGGTTTCAGTGTGTGTACATGCATTTTTTTTGCTTGTCCTTTTACTGGTTAAGGTGGTGAGATTTCTGTAAACCTTATGTTTACATAAAAAACACACACAATAGAAAATGTCACGGGACGTGAAATAATAATGAAAAACATGTTCAAAATTGGTAAAACATATGTCTATGAAAAAAGCTTTATTATTATTTGAACTTTTTGAACATAAACCCTTCGTCATGCAGTTTAAGCCGTGTTACATAGAAGCCTTTTTTAATGTTGCAAATAATAATCAAGTTTTTGTTACAGATGTGTGTTTTACCAATTTTGAACACTTTTCTTCCTCATGTTTACATATCAAGTAAAAGAATAAATAGAAATTAAATGTTTCATACCACTTGTTAGTACAACGGGCTCTCCTCCCGCAGGTGGTAGAGATGGCTTCACAGATACTGCTGGAGCTGAAAATTACAAACATTTGCTAAATACAGTAGAGGCAACCAATTATAATTGCCTTAAAGCTTTCTGTTAAGTGTTGAACAAAACTAGAGATCATCATCTTTTAACACACAATAAACAAAAATTCTATTTTCATAAACTAATCAATAATGTCTATCGTATCTAACTTGAATACTTAACTAAAAGAACAGACATTTTCAAGGATTTAGAAAACACGTTATCTCATTGTTTATTTTTAACCTTTTTGCATCAGATAGGACAAAGTGCACATGTCACCACCTTTCACAGAGTTACATTCAACATTTGGCATCAAATTGTGGTCAATAAATCAAATTTTGATATTATACAAGTTCTTCATTTCGTAAGGAAATATGAAAAAAAAACTCAATCTTCACTAATATGGGAACTGTGACATTTGTTATCCGTGTCTTCTCTCTTCTTTTAATGTATTTATCAACACTCTGAGAAGTTTGGAATTCGAAGTAAATTACTCATTATAGTATAGTTATTACTCAGGCAGAACAATTTTTATAGCCTTCAATCTTATTTGGTTTCAGAGCCACATATTAGAAAATGAGACCCTTCATGCCATGCCCACCTGTCACATCCTCTCTTTCACAATTTCTCTGATATTTAAGATATTATTTATAACCAATAGAAAGTTTCATCTACCACATGATGTTTCATATTAGTTCTTTTCTGCACAGATGAGTGTCAGTTTGCCTTCCAGTTTAAGTCTGATTCCCACAGGAAAGACATCATCGAGCTTAGCTGAATTTCTAACGGCTCTTGTTACGTTGTTAGAAACCCAGAATAACTGTGATAATTATGGGACATGTTCTGCTTTTTGCATGTTATTAATTCTGTGTTCTTTGAAACATCATTTTATTAAATAAAAAATTATTTATTGCAACAATACCATTAGTAGAAAAAAGTAGGGTTAAGTGTCATCGATAGTCAACAGCAAAAAGAAGACTTGGGTGAGTACTTTATTTCTTGTTTTTCATGTGCATTCTTTATTTATTATTATAAAAGTAACTAAGATGTAAAAATTAGAAACTTTTCAGGTTAGATTACGTAAAATAAAGAATAATAATAATAAAATTTTTCACAACATGCTCACGAGTAGCCAGTTTGTTATGTAATTCGATAGGGTAACGCAAGCTGCACATTCGCCAAGTAATTTCAAATTTTATAGTGGGAATATTAGTTTAGACATGGTTCAAAGGGCAATAAAACAATAACATTTAAGTATAAATAAATCTATGCTGTTATGATATTTAAATTTTCTAGAATAAACAAATCAAGTTTCATGCTATAATTTGAAGTCATTATAGAAATAAAAATGCATAATTTAGATTTAATTCAATTTATTTTTGGGTGGTTATGAGATTGATCAACATCATATAGTTAGGGTAGAGAAAACAACAGATAAAATATAGTTTTTTGAAAAAGAAACATTTTAATATTTATTTAGGAGATTTTAGGGATTATGCAAATGAAATCTGAAAAATTTTAGAAGAAAAAAGTATTCTTAATCTTAATATGAAATTCACTTTGCACTCAGAACAGTCAACACTCTGACACCATATAATTAAACAGAAAGTTTTAACAAAATGCATAATTATAAATTCTGATTTTTTGTTTACAAAATATTTTTAAAGTTTACTGAAAGCTTGGCAAATTTTGTGAAGATACATACAATAAGTACTTTCAGATTTATACTATCATGGTTACACGTTTCTGTAAAATACAGGTACCTGTTCTGATAGGGTTATTGCAGTTTTGTTTAGCTAACCTAACACTGCAACAAACCAACGAAAAAAACAACTAATATTTCAAAACAGTTAGATCAGCAAAGACTGAACTAACAATGTGAGTCTAAGAAACTCTACTAATAAAAAAGTTGCATGTCATTGTTTCTTTTCAATAAGTTTTTTATACCTACATTTTCTGAAGTGTATTTGATATTGTTTTTCAAATAAGAAATAGCTAAAACTTTTTAAGTTTGATATCTGGAATGCTTATTTAAAAGATATTGTTAGTTGGACATATAATCAAGAAAAGTTACCTAGAGTTTAAATCAGCAAAACTACTGAACATATTTAAAAAATTAATTTCACCAATAAATGAAACCATGAAATATTATTGGTGGAAAAGAATCATGCTTTTTTTACTGAAGTTAAAAAATTATCATTGTTATTTGAAGAAGAATAACCAAAAACCTGATTAACTGCTTCAATACTTCAAGTAATATGCCAATCTGACATCCATACATATTGCTTAAAAAGCTTTAAGTGATAGGCTGATTTAATTATAAGGAAGCTGATGCACCCAAAAATTCCTACAGAACAAATTTAATAATAATAATACCAAGAGTAACTTGATATACCTTTTAATGATACTTAGTTAAAACAGCACCTTACCTGACGGACTCTGAACTACAGATGGATGTGTGGGAAGGGAACTATTTACATTTAAGGCTGAAAGACCTTGAACAGCATCCTCTACTGAAGCAGTTGTGGTGGTGGAAGGAGCTGTTAGCTGTACCTAAGATGATTAAAAAATATTCCCTCTTTCAGTGTTTAATTTTAAAAAAATGTCAGATTAAAACATAATAAAAGATTAATGTGCATCAGTGAAAATATTAGAGAAAATTATTAGCACGTAAAACTAAATATATGATATGCCATTTATAAAATGTAAATAATTTTTAATACTTATCTCTAGATAAATTATAATACAAATAACACATAAATATAGATTCTAAAGCTTAGAACCAAGATACTTTTTTTTCTGGAAACTTCTTACCGATGAATAACCCCCCGTTAAAGAGGCTTTGGGTGGTGTAGGCTGAGAGCTGACTGTTTGATTGCTAGTGGAAACTGGTTTACTATGTTCTGGTTCTCTAGTTGGTATCCTGTGAAGGTAACCATAACCAATCCCACAGCCTAAGCTACATAAATAAGAAAATATATATATAAGAAGGGAATTAAATTTAAATATTTCAATTTATATATCTCTCAATTTGGGAAAAAAATTCACAAAAATCAAAACAGTAACTTCATATTGATAACTACAATTTCTTTAAGAATTGATTAGTAAAAAAATACTGAATGTTTTACAATCTGTTCCATAAATTACAACATTTGTAACTTTCTAAAATCTGCTAGAGTGGTAAGAAAAAAATTAGTATTATAATCCTTGAATTATAGCATCTCTCAATCACAGAGAAATCATCCATTCAAATCATACTTGAACTTGAATTTAAATTAGATTTTAAACCACACTGAAACTTAAATGTATACTTTACAAAGAATTGTTCATAATCTACTGTAACAAGCTGCATATCCAATCATCTTGCCCCTAGTCATATCTCTGGCTTGTGACTACTCAGGATAAAAATTAGATCTTAAACCACACTGAAACTTAAATGTACACTCTACAAAGAATTGTTCATAATCTACTGTAACAAGCTGCATGTCCAATCATCTTGCCCCTGGTCATATCTCTGGCTTGTGACTACTCGGGATAAAAACCTTGAAAACTCTTGTTGGAAGTCAGTGTGGTAATCTACAAGTATAGATGGCACTTAAAATTGATCCATAGGGGAATGGAGAGGAAGAGGGGGCATTACATTAAAGGCCTTTCCAATACAGAATTTTTCTATTTTGCAAATATAAAAACATTTAAGACATGAAATCTTAATGTTTCAAAAACAGGGAATATCTCTAGTTAAGTCGTATTAATAAAAACAAGAGAAAAATAGGCTTTTCTATGACTGACTGCTTGTCAAACACCAGAGACAGTCAAAAAACTTAAACAGAAATGGTTGGTCACTGAGGGACACATAGGGCCCATAGCAATTGAAGTATGAATCCCCTTGGAACTTTCAACAAAATAATTTACAATATTTATATCTAAATGAACCATCTTCACAAGCTTCTCACAAAACAAATAGCTGAACAGATGACCAACTGTCAAAAGATATAAAAACATGTGGCAAAGGAGGTACAGTATGTTATCACAATGAACAATATATAGGGTTGCTTAAATGTCTAGGCAATTCCTTATCATCCTGCCCATTATACAGCATCTAAAAAAATTATAAATATCACATTGAATTTTCACAAATGATCTATAGTGGTTGCAGATAACAGCTATAATGAGAAGATAAATTCCTGGAGAGTTAAGAAGAATGCCAAGGCGAGCTCTGCATAATGTCAGGCCAATATTACTGGTGCAATTACACTGAGAAAATATCATCTTTATACAAAATGGATGACAATAAGATATGGTTTGACCTAGATAAACCATACAGTCATACAACCAAGTCAACATGCAAGTTCCTCTACAAGATGCTATACCAATTGAAAAAAACTTTCACAGGGAATATAGTGACAAAATGGGCCCTCACAAGTTTGAAATATATGGGTATGGCTGATAAATTTTTAAAAGCATGTAAAAAGAAGGTGATAAGAATGATATCAATGTATTATGCAAAAGAAATTGTAAAGCAGAGCAGTGGTCTATAACCAAGGTCATAGAATACTACTAGTGGTGGAAGGAGGGATTTTTGGTCTAGGCATACATCCAAGTATCATTACCATAGATAAAAAAAACAAAAAACCTGCTGCATATCTTGAATCACATTTGAACTTAAAAGTAAACTACACATCTTACCTTCCCTCTCCTCCCCAGCTCTTGTTTGGTGTAATAGTGACTTCACGGCAAGTGTCAGTGTTTGTGTTATACACATACAGCTTTAGAGGTTTGCCTTCATGAGCTTCAATTAATGTAAACAGATCTTCTGACTGTAATAACCAAAACAAAAATGTTCAAGATAAAACTGAGCTCTGTTTTGTTATAAGTAAGAAATGCTATATTGTCATGTAAGTTAATAATGTTGATAAGTAAGAAATGTTATATTGTCATGGAAGTTAATAATGTTGATAAGTAAGAAATGTTATACTATCATGGAAGTTAATATTGTTGATAAGTAAGAAATGTTATATAGTCATGGAAGTTAATATTGTTGATAAGTAAGAAATGTTATACTGTCTTGGAAGTTATAAACAAGTTAATAATGTCAACAAACATAAAAGTTCAGTGTTTGTATGTTTATATATTATGGTGACAGGATTATTACCTATAAAACAAAATGCCAAATTACTTTATCTGTATTAGAAATAATGAAACCAATACATTCCTCTTAAGTTACAAAACCAATACTAGATTGTTTAGTACGAAAGTTAAATAGGTTAC